CTCAAAAAAAGTAAACAGGATAAATGCAACAAGGACATTCTAAGTAGTCACTAGATCTTGGGTTATTAACCTGGGTACTTCAAAGAGGTTTATAATTGGCTTTAGGAGAGGGAGTTCCATAAACCTCTCGAGACTGATAAAAATTATGAACATACAGCATCATCGTATGTAATTAAATTTCCCAAGGAGAGATGGTCCAAAACCTGCATTAGATCTGCAAGAATCTCTATCTATGCCCCACAAATATTTCAGAGTTACTGCTCAGCAGGCCTTCCCTACTTTTAAAGTGGATTCCTTTAGAAGGAAAATACTTCGCACTGTGCCACCCTAGTGAATAAGGAATCAGTGAACTCTGTCGAGGTTTTCTTTTCTGGCTGAGTTTCTATGACTTTGGCCAGAAAAAGGCACTGGACTGATGTAGTGAAAAGAGGTAGACATAGCTGTTATTAATTTATAGTTATTTAGCTCCTTAAAAAGAATTTCCAGGCTTCAGTAGATTTTGAAAAAAAAAAATTCAATATTAAGCAAACAGAATTTATCTAGAAATCATAACAATAAAAACAAAGATTCATTTATCTCATCAATAGCAATATCTCATAGGAATAAGAAAAATTAAGTTTTTATAAAAGGTAATACAGGTAGTCCCGAGTTACAAACATCTGACTGATGTACAACTCACACTTATGAACAGAGGCTATTATAGGTAATGGGTAAATGTACCTGTTTCAACTCACATACAAATTCAACTTAAGAACAAACCTACAAAACACATCTCATCTATAACCTGGGACTAACTATATAATAAATGACTATGAAGGAAATTGGTACAACAGATGTTGAATTGCTTACGTTGGGTTACTTGATAATACACTTTGGTGTTCACTGAATGTCAATTTAAGAAAAAAAAGGAAAAAAAGAGAATCCATGAATTTTCTTCCATTGTACAATAAACTTAGTAGGCTACAACCAACATTTCTCACAATTGGATTCTGTTTATTTAGAAGCCAGGACAAACAAATCATGAACTGCCAAAGATTTCCCTTTGCCCACAGGTGACCAATAGTCATGGTCAAGGCTCTGTAATTTCCAGTGAACACCATTTACTACAGAAGGGACTGGATTAGATCACAAGTGAGGTTAGACAAGGTGAGACACATCATAAAAACCCAGTTAAAAACCTAATCATTCAGTTAAGAAGCAATGCACAAACCTCCCCAAAGAGTGGACAGGGAGGAAAGGTGTTTCTTTCATATCTTCTGAACTACAGTTTAGAATTTTGCTTCTGACTACCTACAGTCCTAAACTACCTACAGTGTTTAAATTCTCTACACTAAGATGACACTTTATCTCAGAACCACCAGGCGGGGCTTGATCACCTGGGAGGCTATGTAGTTCAGTAAATATTAATCTTCTACTATGCTAGATACATAGAACATGAAGTTGAACAGGCGTCCTCAAATTATGGCCCTGCGGGCCACATGCAGCCCACCTAGGACATTCATCCGGCCCACCAGGTGTTTTTGCCACCCCTGCCTATCCTGCTTAGCAGCCGACTTGTGCTGGGGCCTGCAGTCTGGCCCTCCAACCGTCTTAGGGACAGTGAACTGGCCCCCTGTTTAAAAAGTTTGAGGACCCCATTCTTGAAGTTGAAGAATAACACATGCTTCCTTCAATTACATAGAAACATCTTTTGCTTTGTTTTTAAACACACGGTTAAGTTAGGAAAGTTACTTTTGGCTCCGCGCCTGTGGCTCAAGCGGCTAAGGCACCAGCCACATACACCTAAGGTTGCGGGTTCGAATCCCCAGCCCGGGCCCGCCAAACAACAATGATGGCTGCAACCAAAAAATGGCCAGGCGTTGTGGCAGGCACCTGTAGTCCCAGCTACTTG